CAACAGACTTAAGTTGGCTCTGGCATCGAAGACTTTCTCATCTCAATTTTCGAAACATCAATAAACTTGTGGTACAAGATTTGGTAAGAGGTTTACCTGTACTTCAATTTGACAATGATTCTTTATGTGCAGCTTGTGAAGTTGGCAAGCAACATAAACAAGGTCATCCAATAACAATAGATTCGAAAATTGTTGCACCTCTGGAGCTTTTACATATTGATTTGTGTGGTCCTTCGACTGTTTCAACTCTCAACAAGAAACGGTATATTTTAGTTATTGTCGATGACTTTTCCAGATTTATGTGGGTTTATTTTCTCAGGCTTAAATCCGAAGTTGCACAAATCATGATTGATTTTATCAAAAAGATGGAAACGACATTGAAGAAGATTGTTCGAAAAATTAAGAGTGATCATGGAACTGAATTTAAGAACAATGTTCTTGATTCATTTTTGGTGGACAAAGGGATTTCGCAAAACTTTTCATCTCCATACACACCACAACAAAATGTTGTTGTTGAACGAAGAAATAGGTCTCTATGTGAAGCGGCAAGGACTATGTTGGCATATTCGAATCTTCCACAATACCTTTGGGCTAAAGCAGTTTCAACTGCATGTTTTACTCAAAACAGATCCTTCATTCATCGTCGATTTAATATTACTCCATATGAAATTCTCAACAATCGAAAACCTAACGTCAAATTTTTTCCATGTTTTCAGATGCAGGTGCTTCATTATGAATCTCAAGGATAATCTTACGAAATTTCAAGCAAAAGCAGATGAAGGGATTTTCTTGGGATATTCGCATAATTCAGTTGCATATCGTGTGTTGAAGAAAAGAATATGAAAAGTTGAAGAAACTTTTAATCTTACATTTGATGATTACTACATTAAACAAACAACAACTCAGTTTGAAAATCATCCAATTTTGAAAAACATACAAGATGAATCTGAATCCTCACAACCATTAGATATTGATTATGATTCAATTTTTGGAATTTCAGATCATGCTGTTGATGCTGAAATCAATGCAAGTGATAATCATATCTCTGAACTAACAAAGCATAATGATTCATCAACATCAAATTCTCCAGAAATTGGCGAAAGTATGCAACACCATCCACTGGAGGGGGAGCACTTGGATTCGAATTCATTAGATGACGAACAACATTCTTTCGAGGGGGAGAAAGAAAGGATGAATGATGATGTTGAGGGGGGGCATAATGTTGAGGGGGAGCATTCAGAAAATATTGAAGATAATAATGATTTTGATGATGCTTGTTCGATTGTAGGCTCAGAACACGATGATATATACGAAAATGCACCTTTGGAATTTGATCCAGCATATCCACCAATGGAAAAATGAACAAAAGATCATCCGAAGGATCAAGTAATTGGGAATCCACAAGAGGGAGTTTTAACAAGAGCTCAAATTCGTGCAAAGAATGAGGTATTGAATACTCATCAAGAATTTTGCATGTTCAATGTTTTCATCTCTAAAATTGAACCAAAAACAGTTAAGATTGCAATGGAACACTCAAATTGGGTTGTTGCAATGCAATCTGAATTGTCTGAATTCGAACGAAACAAGGTTTGGAGATTAATTCCTAAACCTGAAAATGTTTTGATTGTCGGGTTAAAATGGATTTACAAAAATAAAACCGACAAAGATGGAAATTGTGACAACCCGAAATTTTCATTCGTACAAACCCTACAGTCCAAAACTTCAATTAAAAGTTAAATACTTTTCTGCTAATTTTTAGCCAGTTTAAAGTCCGTTGGAGTATTTTATTTAATTATTCATGAATCGAACGGATAAAAGGAAGTGATTTCTAGAGTATCGGGATAGCAATTGAGCAACCAACACCTTAGTTAGGTGTTCACGGCCAAACAAAGGGAGTTTGGGCCGTGAACTCTATCATGGCCGTGAACTCATGCCTTAGGCATGAGTTTACTCCCCAAATCCCTCATTTCTCACTTCCACCCTCAAGAACACTTACCATTCTCTCTCAAGTAGCATCCCGATCTTCCGAAAACGTAAGTTTTACTTGACTTGATTTGTTGTTATAACCTATCTCCTAGTGTTTATACATCATTTCATCCATTCATTGTTGGTTTTCACTTAGATCTTCAAAACACCAAGAACACACACTAATGTTCTTGGACCTTAAACACCCAATCGAGCTTCTATCTTGTAAGTACACTTGCCCTAGCTTCTTGTGTGCTTAATATTAACTTGATAACACTTGAAAATCATCAAGAATCAATAGATCAAAGGAGTTTACGGCCAAGGATGTTCTTGGGCCGTAAACCCTTCTTAAGGTGGCTAAATAGACCCTAGTCCCTTCCTAAGCCTTGGATGCCAACCTTGATCCTTCCTATAAGTGTTTAAGACCTTAGACAACAATCAAAACAAGTCCCCATAAGAGTTTACGGCCGTAAACCCCTAAGGAAGTGGTCCTTAGGCCGTAAACTCTACGAGTTAGTGTTATTGTGCCCCTAATGCTTTCCTAAGGCTTGGATTTGATCATAGAATGTTTACTCTTGACTTATAAGACCTTAAGTCACCAAATGGCACTAAGTACTATGAGTTTACGGCCGTAAACTCATGGGGGAAGTGACCTTAGGCCGTAAACTCCATAAGGAGTGGTTCTTGGGCCATAAACTCCAAAGCCATGCCATGCAACCCTTAGATGCAATCCTTAGGACTTTTCAAACACTTAAATAAAGTGTTTTACATGTCTTAGGATGTCTTAACTTGGTTAATTAGTTGTTTAATGACTAATTGGATACATATATGTGTTATTATATGTTAACTAGGATCATTGAGTGTGTACAAGTCTTCACTTGGCACCTAGCATCCTATACTTTCCGTTCATCCAAACCACTCACTACAGGTGAGTTCATACCCCCTTAATTAACCTTTTAAATGTTTTAAATGTTTTTAAATGCTTTTATGGGGGGGGGATACAAGTTGATCAATTATAGTTATTATATCAATCACATGTGATTAATAACTACCAGTCTAGTGGATTTCTTACTTTTCAAACTGAGTTTTCAACAAACTACTCTTCAAACGGTTTTACAAGCTCTTTTACATATCAAATGGGTACTTTTCAAACTCTGTTACAATTGTGTTTCAAACAAAGGTTTTCTTATACTTTAAACTGTTCTTATCAAACAAACTGTTTTCAAATCGTTTTACAAGCTGACATCAAGTCATCCTTTCTTAGTTATTAAACTTTTCAAAGGTTTTACAAAACTTCTTTTATGCTTTTATATTGTCAATTGCATGCCCGTATATGTATAATTATATAAGTAATGTTTAAAGGACTTAGGAAGGCTAGCTCGCTTTATTTCCTTTTCCTCGTTGGGAGGTGGCCTTAGGGCATCAGTTATTCGTCCGAATGTCGTCTAAATATTAGTTATATATTATGTATACATATATAGACATAAAAGTTCTATCAGTCAATTTAGTACCCTTGGGTAGCAAGGGTATACATTCATGTTCATACGTACAAGTCATATTACTAGTAAACTACAATAGGCGTAGTTTAGGAAGTTACTAATACTATTACTAGAACAATGAATCATACAATGAGTCAGTTCATTCATGAGTCAATACTTGCTAGATAGAGAGAGAACACACAATACAGCTAGTAGACACAGTACATTACAATACAGGCTAGACAGAGGGAGAACATACAATACAGCTAGCACATTCATTACATATACAGTTTTGCAGTTAGGTGAGCCACGTACGGGGCATGGCACTACCTGCCATGACCGTTCATGTATCCAGAATCTCCTTAATTGGGGAGCATATGAGTTTGTGTATAGCTATATTGGATTGACTATCCTACACCTTGCTGCTAGCTACAGTGGGACTTGCAAGTCCATGGGTGCCAAATGTCATTTTTCTCCGACATCTTACAATTGTCACGTACTATAGTCGGTAGCAGGATACAAGCCGATCACGTGGTACTTTAAATTATAATTAGTATAAGGTAGTTAGTACAGTAGTAGTTACTTATTTCAATACTACAGTACTATTCCATTTTCCCATTGCATTCACTTTGTGCTTTCACACAATATACAGAAATGCGAAAGCTATATTTTTGATAAATGATAGTCAGATTTGGGAAAATACACACTCTTACAAGAGACACACACAGATACTAGATGCCTTGGTAGAAGGCTACTTTTAGTAGGAAACATAGGGTTTTCTAGGAGGTTCAAAACTTTTACATACTTATACTTCACATACTTACAAATACTTTCTTACAAATGCAGACACTAAAATACTTATGATCTCACCAACTTTAAAGCTGATACTCTCTTTCAAAATAACTTGTATCCTCAGGTCACCAGTAGACAGGTACCGATGCAAGGTTTGGAGAAGATGGAGCTCGTTCAAGACTCATCTTTCATTTTGATTTATATTTTGGTGTCTATATAACTTGACAGAACACACTTGTATTAAAATTATATTATTAATGCAATGGATGATGTTGTTGCTTGTTTACTACTATTCATTGTTGTGATACTGTACATGACGTCCTCCGCCCCAGAACATTTCCGCCGTTCCTGGTTTTGGGGTGTGACAGAAATATTGTTCGAAACAAAGCCAGACTTGTTGTCAAAGGATATTCACAACAAGAAGGAATCGACTATGAAGAAACTTTTGCCCCTGTCGCAAGACTCGAGGCGGTTCGTATATTTCTGGCTTATGCAGCTCACAAGGACTTTGATGTTTATCAAATGGACGTGAAGTGTGTATTTCTAAATGGAGAGCTTGAAGAAACAGTATACGTAGAACAACCCCCAGGTTTCATTAATGAAGAATTTCCAAATCATGTTTATATTTTAGATAAGGCAGTTTATGGTTTGAAACAAGCACCACGAGCATGGTATGCAACTCTAACCTCATTTTTGAAACAATCTAAATTTAAACAAGGATCCGTTGATCCCACATTATTTCGATAGAAAGTGGGGAATCATCTAATGCTTGTTCAAATTTATGTTGATGATATTATTTTTGGCTCAACTGACCCTGCTTTGTCTAGAGAATTCGAAGATTTGATGAAGAGTAAGTTCGAAATGAGCATGATGGGAAAAATCAATAATTTTCTTGGTTTGAATATTCGTCAAAACAGAGAAGGAATTTTTATCAATCAAGAAAAATATACGAAGAATCTGCTGGAAAAGTTTGGACTGACGAATAGCACGAAGTTACGAGTTCCAATGGCAACGGGCATCAAGCTAACACCGTCGTTAGATAAACCTGCTGTTGACATAACTTTATATAGAAGCATGATTGGTTCATTACTTTATCTCACAGCTAGTAGACCTGATATCATGTTTTCTGTGTGTAATTGTGCAAGGTATCAGTCTAATCCACGAGAACCACATCTCACTGCGGTGAAGAATATATTTCGTTATCTTAAAGGAACAATTTCGTTAGGATTGTGGTATCCTTCGAACACTGGGTTCTTTGTACAAGCATATTCGGATGTTGACTTGGGTGGTTGTAATCTTGATCGAAAAAGCACAAGTGGTGGATGTCAATTTCTTGATGGCAAATTGGTGAGCTGGCAGTCGAAAAAGCAAACATGCGTATCAATTTCAACAGCTGAAGCAGAATATGTGGCTGCTGCTGCTTGCACTTCGCAAATATATGGATCCAAAGTCAATTGCATGATTATGCAATAAATATGAAAAAGATTCCATTATATTGTGATTCTCAAAGTGCAATACGAATTTGTCATAATCCTGTGCAGCATTCGAAGACTAAACATATAGCTCTTCGTTATCATTTCATTAAAGATCACGTGGAGGATGGAAATATTGAAGTACATTTCGTGAAAACAACTGATCAGTTAGCTGATATATTCACGAAACCTTTAGATGAAAAATCCCTTGTGAGAATAATAGAAGGGCTTGGAATGATCGATGGAAATTATGTTCCATGCGAAAAAGGAGAATGATGGTTGACAAGGAATGAATCAGAGGCACTGAATAAAAGATAAAGCAAAGTCATTCAGCATTCAGCGGTTACTGTTCATAGTCAATGCTTCGACCCCTTCGAATTCGCACATTTATCACTTCTTTTAAGGGTTGATTCTGAGGTTACTGTTCATAGTCAACGCTTCGACCCCTTCGAATTCGTACATTTTTCAACAATAAAGGAATGACAAAATTTCGTGTGTTTGCAACAAGTACAATATATTTTTTTTAATTTTCGAAAAATTCAAAAATCCAAAAAGAGTTTCTTTAGTTTTGTCATTTCATTTTCGAAAATTCAAAAATCCAAAAAGATTTTCTTTTGTTTTTTCATTTAATTTTCGAAAATTTCCAAAATACAAAAAGATTTTCGTTTGTTTTGTCTTTATTTTCGAAAAATCAAAAATCCAAAAAGATTTTCTTTTATTTTTATCATTTACTTTTCGAAAATTTCAAAAATCTAAAAAGATTTTCTTTTGTTTTGTCATTTAATTTTCGAAAATTTCCAAAAATACAAAAAGATTTTAGTTTATTTTGTCTTTATTTTCGAAAAATTCAAAACAACAAAAATATTTTAATTCTTACTTCTTTTTAGTATTTTGTTGCAGATTATCATGACGATACAAAAAGGGATTATCTTTGCAGTACTAGGGTAAGGTACATTTTTCGTATGAATTGATAAATTTTTCATCATTCGCACTAGTTAGGTTGTCCCTGGAAGCATGCTGCTGCATGTTGACCAAAGCCTCCATGACTCAATGTGTGTGTACGAAAGCCTTAATGAAATTATTCATACGAAGATTTCTTCCCAATCAGGCTTATATTCACATTAGTCTCTGAGCTACCTTACTCTTCTCCAAATGAGTTAAGAGTTTACTGTTTGGTCCAAACATAACAGAGGTACTTTTCGTGTCTTACATCAATCTTTTTCATCCATAAAATTCTTTCACGATCACACACGAAGACATATGTCCGAGAGGTCTCTGATCAAACCTATCGAGACTTAGATATATCAAAACTCTGTGTTTATGATCTGACATCATGAGACCGTGATGAAAGTGAAACCCAATTATCATTAACTTTTAAGGAATTGACGGGGAACTCAGTTCCAGATTTTCACGAAACTTTTGTTTCTGTACCAAAATTCGAAACTCCAAATCATATTCATTTCGAATGAGTAGTCTTGATCAAACATTCGAAACCCACGATGTTTGTTACCCAACAAGATCCAGAATATAAATTTTTTTCTTGAATATGATTTCCGTGTGAGTTTCATTCGAATATCCTAGTCATATCAAAATTTTTCAAAGCAAACTTGTCACTGACTACACTGGTCAAACAAGTAATTTCTGTTACAATTTCTCACCTTATGTTTAGGATGACATGTAACGAAATTTTTTTAAACTACCCACGAAACATTATAAAAGAAGCCCTTCGATACTTATCAACAAGTATTCGATTGTAATTCACGGGAACCCACACAAGCTATTGATCATTTCTCTTAATGATTAATGAAGTAATCTTTGCCCGGGATTTAATTTGCTTTTGTGTCAATGGTTTGACATCACAATATCCCATATTTTTCTTATATTTGTTTCACGTCTCTATTCTTTGGAACACAGCACTCACGAAATCCTTGAGGTTCTGAGTAATACCAACTCAGGCTGATGATTTCGAACTTCTGGCGTATGACTTCGCTTTTCATCCCAAAAGTGAAAGAGCCTTGCTTCCATTCGAAGGGTTCTGACGGTTACACTTTTCTTGGGGATTACAAGACAGGCTGTTTATAAATGATGTATGGTATTATGTCCGTTTTTCAAGGTGATGTGACAACTACTTTTTGACGCATGGCTACTTTTACGCAGTAATGGTCCGACTTTCAAGGTGCCACGTAGGTTATCATTAAATACACATCCCGCTTCAAATTCAAACTTCAGGGTTACATATAAAAGGGGATTCAAGGGTTCATTATCAGTTTACGCATTCTAAAAGCAAAAAATTCCCAAATTCTCTGTTCTTCAAAATTCTCAAACCCTAACAATGGCGACTTCTGTTCACGTTGATCCTTCCACTAAAGATGTTTCTTCCGTTCCATTAATGATGATTCAAGCAACTAACTATTACGTGGAGGGTGAAGTTTCTCAATACCCGGAAGAATTGAAGATGCTCATTGTTGCCTTGAAGAACTCTATTTTATCAACGGCGATGTTCAATTCTTTCTCAGTTCCAATGTCATGGCTTTCTCAAGCAGGATCAACTGCAACTTACAACAAAGCATCTGATACGATTACTTTTCATCTAGTAAACGACAAAAAGGTCAGGTTATCCAAGAAACTCTTCTGTCAAATTCTTGCTATTCCGAATTCGCCTCCATATGTTGATTTCACATTCCCTCAAATAGTCCACATGTTTAATGAGATGGGATATCAGCCCCCATTGTCAAAGATTAGTGACTTTAAGAAATCTGGTCTTCCACGACTATGGAATTTCTTATTTGGTATTTTTCTACGCTGTTTAACTGGAAGAAGAGTTGGTCTAGATAAAGGAAGAATGGAGGTTTATGCCATGGTTGTTGGCATATATTATGATCTTCAAGTGGACTACTCTACACAATTATGGAAGGAATTCCAAAAGGGTGTAGAACATACGAATGCAATTCATGGTATTTCGTGTGCACGATATTGGAGCCTTATTTTGCAATATTTTTATAATAAGGAAGGGATTTTGGTACCAAATGAAGAAGAAAAAGTTGTTTTTCAATCATATCATTATCTGAAGGAAGTTGTAGATAGTGCCGATGATTTTCCAACTGTGGCTCGTATTCCAGATGCGATGCTCAAAAGAGTTGATCCTACGAATTCAGTTTTGGTAGCCTATTTGCAAACAATTGATTCTTCTGTTCAGACTGGGATTTTGTTGCCGAGGGAAGAAAAGAAGTCTAAACGATCAAAGAAATCTGAACCTGCTTCTTCAAAAAAGCAAATCAAGGATTCGAAATCTTCGAAATCTCCAAAGAAAAAGCCTGCAACTGTTGAAGTATCTGTTGCTGAGACCCAAGTAATTGAGCCCATTATTGCAGAAACACACGAGAATGTTATCATTCCTTCGAAGACTGGAATGTTTCGAAGAATAAAAATGAAGTCAACCCACAAAAGCAAGTCTCCTACACACAAAGTGGTTCGAAAACCTCAAATCACTCATCAAGGTATGTTAATTCGAGAAGTGCCAGCACCTGTATCTCCGATGTCCAAGAAAAGACAAGCTGAGGATATGGCAAAACGTTTATCAAAGAAGAAGAAGAAGAAGACAAGAAGGCTGGTCATTTCTACTGAGTCCACTGAAGATGATGAAGAAAGAATTCCTGAAGCTTCTGAGCAGACTGTTGTCAAACCACCCGAAGATTCGATTGCCAAATCAGTTCCTGAGGAGGTTCGAACTTCAGGCACCCCTGCACACTTATCTGATACGGATGCAAATGTCGCTATGGGTGAAGGAGGTTCGAAAAATACAGCTACAGGTCCATCTACATCCACTATTCCCATTACTTCAACCACAGATTCACCTACATTCGAACACATTATCAATCAACCTTTTAATTCTATTTTTTCTTCACAATCTACTGAGCCACCCAAGCCAACTTCACCTAATCAAGAAACTGTTTTTATGGAGACAGAGACTGATAATGAGGGGTTTGGAGGAATGTTTGATGAATTGGAATTTCATGAAGACGAAGAACAGTTCCTCGATCACATGTTGATGACCATGAAGCAGTTTAAGATTTTAAATCAAAAGTTGAATTCTGTCATTCAATCTCAAGCAGATCTAGGGGTTGGTTCATCTGTTTCAAGTGTTGAAGTTGATTCGTTGCTAAAGGTGTTTGAATCCAGAATCATAAGTAAAGTATCGGGGATGCTTAAAGATTATGAATCTCGACTCTTGGAGAAGATTGATCATAATGATCAAAACAATGAAATTCGGATTAATTCTCAGAGTTCGAAGTTTACTGGTGACCTGAGAGAGTTGAAGAATGTTGCCAAGGAAAGACATGTTCTGTTTATTCAAGATGTGAAGAAAGTTAGAGAGGATGTCAACTTGCAAATTCACGAACTTCGTGAAGATATGAAAAGAGAAATAGCAACTGTTCAACATGACTATGCGTCATTGCATCAAAAGGTTGATATCATTTGTGACCCAGTCACTCAATTTGTTAAGTTGTATGAAAATTTGAGTCCTCAAATTACTCAACTTTCAACATCTGAAGGTGCAAGCTTTGAAGAAGTGCTTAAGTTGCTCAAGGAATTAAAAGAGATTTCTGATAAGCCAGTTTCTTCTCAATTGATTACTCCTGAATTTTTATCTCAGAAGTTTATTCAATTTGAAGCCATTCTCAACAAGCAACTTGCCCCTCTCTTCCGCATATCAAGTCTTCTTCCAACCACAAATGCCCCGCCTGTTTTCACAGGGGTGCAAGGGGGAGAAAGGAAAACTAGTGAGTCAAAGACTAGTGGAGAAGATGCGAAAGTAGTGGGAAAAGTCTTTTCTTTAAAAATCCCAACAACAAAGCCAGTAATAGTTTCGGCTGAGATGGTGACTTCAACAGTTGTAACAACATTACCCATTACAAAATCTTTTTCGAAAGGGATTGTAATTGGTAAATCTTCAGAGACTAGTGGGAGTGGTTCAAATCCAAAAGAGGCAATTGACAATCCAGCATTGAAAGATAAAGGGAAATCGATTGTTGTCGAAAAGTCGAAAGAAGAAAAGAAGGCTGAAGCTGAAGCCGAAATAGAAAAGCTCAGAATAGTTCAAAGCATAATGGCTCAGCGTGCTAATGATCCGAAGGGAATGAATAAAGGGGATCCAACGAAACACTATAACTACGAAACAATCGAGGCCAAGGTTGCATTCAATCACATGTATTCGTTTGAAAAGAAACCAAAACAAAGCTATTTGGTCACAAATACTGATGCAAGCCAGTTGGATTTCCCGATAAACGAAATGATGTTTATCATGCCTCAGTTCAAGGCCGAAGGGAATTTTAAAGGGAAAGATGAAGGTACACACATGAAAATTCGTTTTCATGCTGTTCTTGGTAAAGCCCCTGAAGAAGTGTGGTCTTTAATCAAAATCAAGAAGGTGATAAGTATGAAAATGGATGTGGTTTTCGAAAACACAGTCCAAAATTTTAAATACGTGGTTGCCAGGGCAGATGGAAAAATTTACGAATTCACTGTTGCAGATTTTCCATTAATGAACTTGTATGATCTTATACAAGTTGCATTACTTTTGAAAGATAAATCCTTTTCATTCCTTCAAAACACAGAACCAGAAGAATTCAAGCTTGGAGTTGCTCACATCAAAAATTTTATCGAAAATTACTATGAGTGTTTGGCACTTACTGATGTGGAGTTAGCTACGGCTAAAGGAATGGAAATAACAGCTCCAATGGCTCATTCAAAGACACAGGCAGATTTAAAGAAATATGCTGATGGTGAGATATGCCTGAAACCTTTTGGAATTGTCTTCGCAGGGAAAGACAAAGCTGGTAAGTCAAAGCGGTTTTTGTTCCAAGCGTGTGAAGTGGAAAGGTACTCAACTTCTCAATATACGAACTTAATTGTTCGTATGAATCATTGCAATAAGAATAACGAAGGAGATAAGAAAGAGTTGAAAAAGATTATCTCATGGTATACAGAGATTCGAAGGGTGTTGCTGTATTCCATCACACTTCTTACAAATTGAAGACTTCGACTATTATTACAAAGGGGGAGATTGTAAGGGTCGAATAATTGTAATTAGTCGAAGTATGTTTTGTACTCTTCGAATATTTTAATGTATTTTACTAAGGCGCTTATGTTCGAAGCGATAGTGTCAAAGCCTTAGTATATTTTTTTGTACGCTTTCAGTTCCCTATATATAGGGTTATTTACTAGAGGTAGATAAGAACTTTTACAGACTTGTCTCTTTTACTCTGTAAAGAATTCGAAAGCGTAATAGAGCATAACAGATCATATTTACATTCTGTGTTCAAATCTCACATTCATACTTGAATTCATACTCTGATTAATTCATTACTCGATTCTTTGATTCATCACCAACATTGCCCAAAAGGTTATAGTTTCATGAAAGTGGGTCCAATTAGTGCCCAAATAACCAAGTTGTGAGTTTATTGGCCCATTATGCCCAATAAATGATTTTAGTCCAGTAGGGTTTGAACTAGGAAATTAGGGTTTCAAACCCACAGTTGAGTATATGAGATGTATTGAATTAGGTTTTGGACTTCACGAGTGAGTTCCGATTCAACTAGTTGTTTTTGGAATGAACATTTGCACAAAACTTCAACTTAGGTTACAAGTTACACTGGAGTTCATTACATGAATACATAATTTCCTAGCCAAAAATGCTAGTTGTGACAACAGCTGCCAAACCCGATCTTTCTATGAATAATACTTCCAAAACCAACATTTGAGGGTACCCATACCTAGAAACCAAAAGGTATAATGTACAGATTTTGATGATAGGTTGACAGATCCATTGACTTCCACTTATACTGTGACAACCCGGAACTTTCTCATTGTACATCTAGCCAATTCAATCAATGTTAAGCTTGCGCTGTTAACTTCTAGCACTGTTTAAGGGTCCATTTAAGTATTCTAAGCATGGGTACAGTCAAGGTTGAGGTTAGGAATGAGTCAGCAAGGCGTATAGTAGCAAAACCGGACCATACACCCCTTTTGGAGGAGTGTGCAACAGCACACATGGGTGTACGGTCGTACACCCCCCCAGGACCACACACCCACCCCTATATAAAGGGTATACCCCTTTCCTTTCAATCCTTTAACACCTTGGTAGCACACAACTCCTTTTCTCTCAAGATTCTTCAACCGCAAACCCTCTCAAGGCCTCAAAAACGTGAGTAATCCATCCCTTAGCTTGTTGTGCTTGAAGAACCTCTTAATCTAGGCCTTGAATCATCAAAGTCCCATCATGTTCTTAATCTCTTTGAAGGAGTGTGGCCACACACCCACATAAGTGGCCTCACACTCCTAAAAGACCCTCCAAAGTGAGAGTTTGGATTTCATCTTCAAGTTAGACATGATCATAGCCTTGCTACACCTTGGAAATGGCATTTTTGGACACAAAACTTGATGGGTGTACGACCACACACTCCCTTGTGCAGCAGCACACACATTTGTGCGACCACACACACACCACAGGACCACAAACCCATTTCTAAGACCCTTAACTTGTACTACAACTAAGTATGGACCTAGAACACTTCATGGATGCAAGTATGGACCTTGAAAACACCTCAAAGGCACCTTCCATCATGAGTGTACGGCCGCACACCCATTGGGCCGCACAGCTATGGCCGTACACACCTTTAAGGTGGCCATACACCTCCCTCATGCTATCCTTTAAGGTCCTAACACTTAGTGCGAGTAGTCCTAAGTTCTTAGAGTGGTTCTTCATCACATCTAGTGGTGAAATACCTTCATTTGACTCCTTTATGTGTCA